AAAAAAAAAATAAAAAGCATGAATAAATACTTAACCTCTTTTGTAATTGAGAAATGCAAATAAGATGCTATTTTCTGTCTTACCAAATTGGCAAAGATTAAAAGATTTGCTAATACATAGTGTTAACAATAGTATGGGGAATCAGGCATTTTTATATACTGTGGAAGAGCATATAATGGTATAACTTATCCAAAAGGTGGCAGTTTACCTCTGGGCTTTGACTTTCATATATATACATGCAGATGAAGGCACAAAGATATACATATATAATGCAAATAAAATGTTCATTGTAATACTGTTTATGCTAACAAACTGAAAGTCAATCTTAGTAAGTTATGTTATGTCCATACAATGGGCTACATATAGCCATTTGAAAAGAATGACCCAAGTATACATGCTGATACTATTCTACACTAATGATACCTTGGGAAATAATTATGGATTTATAGTATGATCCCACTTGTTCATATTTTAAAAAAACTTATATTTGTATCTTATGAATACCATAAATGAGTTAAAAAAAACCCCATGAAACTAAGAGTAGGCTGCCACTGAGAAGACTAAGGAGAATTTAAATTTTTTATTTCTTACCTTAGATAATTCTATTTTTAACCTTTTAAAGTGGCAAACAAAAATGGTATAGAGTATGAGTATAAACTGATAAAATCTTTGTGGAAAGCAATTTGCTAATGCAGATCAAAAACCTTAAAAATGTTCATACCCTGTGACATAACAATACCATGTCTAGGGCGGTGCCTGTGGCTTAAGGAGTAGGGTGCTGGCCCCATATACTGGAGGTGGTGGGTTCAAACCTGGCCCCGCCCAAAAACTGCAAAAAAGACAAACAAGAAACCAAAAAAACCAATACCATGTCTAGTAATCTATAATAGATAAATGAAAACTAGAACAGCTGGTTATAATGTATTTAAAGGTCTGCTTAAAGCAGAGTAAGGCCATAAGGTAGAATACAATGCAATTATGAAAAATGATATTGTAATGCAGATGATTACTTAAAATGGAAAAATCATCATGATAATCATGATCCCAAACTTTTAATAAAGTATACCAACAATTTTGTTTAAAAAATGCTTAGAGCCGGGCATTGTGGCAGGTGCCTGTAGTCCCAGCTACTTGGGAGGCTGAGGCAAGAGAATCACCTGAGCCCAGGAGTTGGAGGTTGCTGTGAGCTGTGTGATGCCACAGCAGTCTACTGAGAGCGATTAAGGTGAAATTCTGTCTCTAAAAAAAAAAAAAAAAAATGCTTAGAAAAAACTGTCCAGGTGTGTAGGTGTGTATATATAATTACCAATCAGAAAACTCCCTGTACATTTTAAAGCCCCTCCCCCCAGACAGAAACAGCTGCTATCCAGGTATAAATGCTTTACCACTCACTCCTCAAATCCACTGCAGACTGGTCTCTTCCCAATTACAGGACAGAAACCATGGAAGCTGTTCAGTAGTCTAATCATCAAATCACTGAGTTTTGCCAGTTTTCATCTTCCATCTATTCTGCAGCATGTAACATTTTATCTTTTCCTTTGTTCTCCTATTACTGGGCATCTTCCTGTCACCTAAATAGAAGATGTTTGTTTCAGCCCTGTCTCCCTGTAGTAATCTTCTCTGCTTCCCATGTCTTACACTGCTTCTTATTTTAGACCAGTTGATGGCTGTAATTTTAATTGAGAAATGAGCGCAATATATTCGTTTAAATTCTGCTTTTAGAATAAGTATATACATTTTTTAACAATTTAAAACCAGTAATTTATGTTGATCTCTTTCAGCATAAACTATCAAAAATAGGAGACACAGAAATAAGTGACTCAGGCTCAGCGCCTGTGGCTCAAGTGGCTAAGGCACTAGCCACATATACCTGAGGTGGTGGGTTTGAATCCAGCCCAGGCCTGCCAAACAACAATGATGGCTGCAACCAAAAAAAAAAAGCTGGGCATTATGGGGGGCGCCTTTAGTCCCATACTAAAGGCAGGTACTTTAAGGTGACCAGATGTCCTGTTTTTGGCAGGACGTCCTGATTTTTAACAATTTGTCCTGCGTCC